GAGGGAAAGTCCTTGTAGCTCACAGATAGGAAGCGTTCAGCAGCCTTGTCTCACCTGTGACCTTGAAGAGTCAGCCCTGAAGGGCAAGGATGGGGAAGGAAGGACTTGATGGAAGAGGACCACTTCCTGGCAGGGATTTTTATTGCGCATTCTATGGAAATAAACACAAATCCTTTAATGTGTGTAGATAATCACAAGTAGCCTCAAAAAGAGCTGTCACCAGAGTTTTTTTCTTTTTTTAAATATTCCTGTCACAAATAATCAGATGTTCTTATTAGCACAAATCAGTTCAATGGACAAATGATGAAAATTTAGAGCCTCCTTTGGGTGTATTAATTGTTTTCTGCCTATTATTTCTGCTTGTACTAAGATTGGCACGAGGTGTCCTTTGAAATACGTAGCCAGTGACTTAATGGGAAGTGATCTGAGCACCCAGTGATTAAATTAGATAAACCAGAATAAGGAAGTAGTCCTCTATAGACGGGGGTACAGCCGTCTTCCATTCTTCTCTACTTTCTGCTGCTCGTCACTAATACCGAGAAAAGTAGCTTAAACATTTCTTTCCATGGAATGGAATTTTCAATGGAAAATTAAGGCAAGATCCTTGACCACATTATCTGCTGCAATAGCAGCAGAATATGGTCACCATGATAGTAAAGACAGTGGTTTGGAGATTTGTGTAGCCAGAATAGAAATCCTTGGGAAAGTAATTTAGGTTATTTGATCAACTGAAAATTCATTGTCCTGAAGTTATATCTTCTGAATGTTGAATTCCTGTGATTGTAACAAAAACATGATAGGTTTTTAATTCCTTTGTCGAGTTACATAAACCATGGTTATTTCACTACAGAAGCAGTTTAAAACCATTGAGATAGAATTTGATGCCATCTTACTATTGCGTCAGGAAACTGTTGACTGCGTAATTAAAATTAACTCTATGCTAAGGATGCTATAGGTAATAATTAGCATTGATAAGTGTTCCCCATGTCATGCTTTATCATACTCAACCTTCAAGGCAATCAATCATGTAATGATTCCTCTAGGACAGATAAGGACTCTGAGGATTAGAGATGTTAGGAACGTGTTCAAACGCATGCTGTAAGGAAGGGCTCATCTTCAGAAGCCCAGTCAGGACCATGTGTGCTGACTTGATGGTATCATCTGCTGTAAAACTGTTCCAGAAGATGCGGAAATGGCCAATCTTAGAATGGTGTCATTGGCATACTTGTACCAATTGCTTCTATAACCCTGCTTACCAGAAAGTGCATCTTGAAACAATTTTCTAAAATAATTATCAGAAAAGACTATGAAATGGAAACAATACAGACTCTTTAGCCACATTTTTTATTCTGTGGTTATGCTAAAATAGAAAGGGTAGTGATTAAAAAAAACAGCAAGTTTTTTTTTTGCAAAGTATTTCCAAGGATTATAATCGCTTTTAGTACTTGAGGAAAGTAATAATTTAGAGTAGGTAAAAAAATGGGACATAGATTAATAATTGATAAATTTCCCTAACTAGGCATGTCTAGACACACACCACTGTGCATGCCTCCTTTTCTTTCTTTCTTCTCTCATAAAATACATCCTGACCACAGCCTCCTCTCCCTCCTGTCCTTCCTCCCCTCTCCCCCAGATCCACTGCTTCATTTCCTTTCAGAAAAGAGTAGGCCTCCATGTGATATTAATTGGATGACTAATTCCAGCACTTTCGAGGCAGAGACAGAGGCATGGGGGTGTCTGTGGATTGGAGCCCATCCTGAGCTACATAGCAAGATTGAAGCCAGCTAGGACTACAAAGGGAGCCCTGGTCTCAAAAAAAAAAAAAAAAAGTCATTACCTGTGGATGAGAATTTGACCAGCATATACAAAGCCATGAGTTGCAGTCCCCAGGACAAATTTTATACGTATTTACCTTAAAATTTTTAGCATGTTTCAAGTAAATCATTTGTTTAATAATCATATTTAAAAATGTCACTTACAAGTTGATTTCTATCTGCACCAATCTTCTTACACGTGTTAATGAGCTTGCTTAGAAGGCAGCAATAGGAATCACTACAGTCCGAATCTGCGACCTTTCTATCATGAGACCTTGATGGAAGCCATATGTCAGATTGCATCTGTCTGCTTTGTTTAATCTGTGCAGGGCCTAGAGGCAGACATGGAGGAAAGGAAAGCAACAGGCCAATGTTTTAGACAGTGGGGTATGTTTTCACAACACAGAGGGAACGGATTTGGCAGCGATCTAGTTTATTCTAACAGTCTTGACAGCTCAGCTGAGTGTCAGGATTGCTACAGCCCAGGGCAGTGGCTTGAGTTAAGTAGGCTGATACTCAGTTACAGCTTCAGAAGACAGCGTGTAGCAGCTGCTCATCCCTAAGTTTACACCATTTAAGACAGATGGGGAAAGGGGCGATCACAGGAAAAGGAAGTTGCTAAGGGGAACAGATAGGTAAGCTAGTATAAGAAGGGGCAGGATGGTCACATGTACAAAGAGCAGTCTAAAAAGTTTTTAGCTATGGCTAACACTTCAATTTCTTCCGGTCTTTTCCCATGAGCATATCATACGTACATATCAACACTTAAAATAATCTTTTAAGATCATATTTATTGTTGAATTTTATACATGTATACCATGTTATCATAAATGTTGATACTATATCCCCCTGATCCTATCTTTCAACTTTCATTTGCTATTTCTTTCAAGTCTTGCCATATTTAATTTAATTTGAGTTGGCTCATCAGTGCTGGAGACCGAACCCCATGGCTGTGTGCATGTTAGGTGGGTGCTCTTTTTCCTAGTACAGTGATTTTTTAAATTCTACTTGAGATAAAATCTCACTAAGCTTTTAAACTTGGTCTGGAACCTTCCGTAGTCCAGGCAGCCTTGAACTATTAATCCTCCTACCATGACCTCCCAGATAGTTACGATTTCAGGCTTCTGTTACCAGGTGCATGTAATGCTCTTTTCATAAAAGACTTTAATGCATGCGATCAATTACTTTAAAATCCTTCAAATTTGTCCTTTAAGCAAAGTTTTCTAATCTTTAATCATAATTGGAAAATTATGTGTATTTTTAAAGACGGGCATAAGTTTTATTCAATGACTTAGATCAGAGAGGTGTTTAGCAGAAAATGGCAAACTAGTCACATTAAGGGAAATATTTTGTTGCTGACAGATTATTTACTTAAATTCTGTAACCCAAAGAAGTAAGTATGTGTATTACTAAGTAGTTGCTTCCCAAACAATGCTTGGCACTCCATACATAGAGTGGAAGCCCCCAGCAGACAGTTGGCGGTTAGGACTTTCATCGTAGGAGAGCGATATGGAGGAAAACCGCACGTTCTACTAGTTCCTGTCAGAAGAACATCTTTGTGTGGTCCCTCCCCTCTTCATCTGCTGCTGTGTCATTTGTTGGAAGCAGGCTGTCCTTCAGGGCTGAATTTCTTTAAATGACAAGAATCGTGCTACTCCTCAAAATTCTCGAAAATTGCTGTCTGCTGTAGGATATCTTCAACACTCTGTAGATCAGACTTTATTTGAGCGGTCCTCTCTTTGCTGCTGTGAAACCCAGCCAAGTTCACCGGCTCTAGTATGAATCCAGGAGCCGCAATTCTTTCTGTCTGATGGACTGCAGATGGTCGCAAGCACCTGCTGTCCAATGGCCATCTTGGCTACACTCAGTGGTTATTTAAGAACTGTTTCAAGCTTTTCTAAAGCTTTCCTGATAGCATCCAGTATGCATTGGCAACCTTTAAACATTAGTTTGGGTTACGTTGACATCCTCGTTCTTGGACACAGTAGAGCTATGTATGTAGACCCACAGAGCCACACGCATTTTGGAAGGAAAATATTCTCAACTTTGTGATTTCAAACGTGGAAAACATTGGTACCCATTCTAATTCCGAAGTTTGATGCATTCTGTTTTTTAATGTAAAGGGAGGTGGCAAAATGATACTAATTCTTTAATTTTCAAAGTAGAAGTCTTGGAATCGTGGAAGGTGGTTTCTCAAGGGAGATTATCTGAATTTTAGTAAAATCCTTATGAGGTTTTACTTTCTGCAAAGAAGTGGTCATCATGCATTCCTTCACACATGCTTAACTGTGTTTCATGTAGGTTTCATTTTCTTATTATTACCTGGAACCCCAAATAAAACTGTTCAATTTCTTCGTGAGGGAATCTGTACAGGAATTTTCCCTTGAACGTGGGCCAGCTAGTCATGTGCAAAAGAAAAATAATCAATCTAAGATTGACTGTGGATTACATCTAACAAGCTGCTTCACTCAACTGTGGTGACATCTCTTCTAAAATCTACCCTTTAAGAATGCCACAGGGCCAGTTCTTCTTGGTTTTATACAAATGATAAAAGGTCAACTTCTTTTTATAGCTTGAGGATACCTGGGTCAACCAGAGAAATAATCAGCAAAACTGAACAATCTTCCATGATTCCTAGTTTCTGTTTATAAAGCTAGTCTAAATACAATTATATTTCCCATGACGGGTCAGTATAAATACAGTCCTCACCACCCCAAGGAAACATACTTGTCTATGAGCACAGGGGACCGTGCAGTGTAGCCAGAGGCATTGTATCTGCTGAGAGTCTCAGATAGACTGAAGGACTCTAGTTCATTGTCAGTATGGTTTTGATTATGTAACTTCACTGAATTTCAATTTCTGCTTTTGCAGAATGAATTAAAATATTAATTGCGTTTGAATTAAACAGAAGAAATTAATGCAGAGGTTTTGTACAGACAAGTTTCCCACCCATATGTATGGGCTCCTCTACCAAGCCAACTCATTTCCATCTGGGCTTTTCCTCAATTAAAACTTTTATCAAGTAAAAATTATGGATAAGAAATATTTTTTTTTCAAAATTAGGGCAATCTTTATCAATTGAAATTGTACTTTATTTGAATTACATCTGATTACAATTGTAGAAACATTTTATGATATCAACACAGGGTTTTTTATTTTTATTTATTTGTTGATTTTGCCTTGTAGGAGCTTAAGCTGCCAGCGGATCACCTTGCATAAGAACCTGTTCTTTTCATTTATATGTAACTCGATTGTGACAATCATCCACCTCACTGCGGTGGCCAACAACCAGGCCTTGGTGGCCACAAATCCTGTAAGTAAAACCCTTGGAGAATTAGCAGGAAGATATATGGGATGGGGGTGGTTTCTGGTATGGAAAATGTATGTCCTTAAATTAATGCATATGTAAATGCTGGGTTTGACATGCAGGTTTATCTCAGTGATATTACCGTCTAGGGAGGTAAATTCCCTCAGTATTTCCACAGCCTCAGTTCGCGTCTGGCTATGGAGCCCATTTGCTCAATCCAATTTAAAAAGCAATAAAAGCGACTGAGTTGTTACACGAAAGAAAAACATATGTAATGAGAACCCTAAATTATATTTTGGCGTCAGGCTTGCATTAAAAATTAATAAAACCAGGAAGATAAGGACTTACATACTTTGTATGTAGAATAAAGTTAAAATCTGTTAAAATAAAATGTTCCAATGCTCTACCAATCATTGTCTCAATAGATACTGATGACATTTTCTTCCTAAAGCCATATTTAAAATGTATGCTAAAATTTTTATGTATGTAAACTCCCCATGATATTTATATGTAAGCTACATTTGGATTCAAATATATGTATATATAGCAGAAGTAGTCACACTTTTGGAAGCATCTAGTTTAATATCGCTGCAGATCTCCAATTTTGGATATGGATATGTGTGTGTGTGTGTGTGTCTGTATTTGTGTGGTGTTTCTGTGTGTTTGTATGATGTGTGTGCTGTATGTGTTTGTGTGGTGTGCATATATGTGTTATGTGTGCATGTGTGGTGTGTATGTGCGTGGTGTGTGTATGCGTGGTATGTGCATATGTGTGTGTGGTATGTGTGTGCATGTGTGCTGTGTGTATGTGGTGTGCATGTGTGTGTGTGTGTTTGGCATATGTATGTGCTGTGGGTTTGTGTGTGTGTGTGGCATATGTATGTGGTGTGTGTGTGCTCTTGGGAGCATCAAGCTGTGTTTTCTGGATTATATTATCTAGTTACTGAAATCAGAGAAGGGAAGGAGTTTGAAACAAATGGGTCAATAATAACATGGGTTTTATGTGTTTTTAGGGTAATTTACACAGCTCTGAAGTTTCGCCCATGGTTTGCACATGTGCATCCGGGTGATTTAATCTTTCTCGTGTTTCTCTCTAAAGTCACTGGGGCAGGAAACAGGCCAGGATATAATTAGCAATATAAAACATGAGCTGCCATTCTGCCATTTCAGAATGAGTTTCTCTACAAATGAGAGAATTCGTTGTGTAACCCAATGGGAGTTTCTAAATCCTACAATTATTTACAAGGGTATATATTTATTGAACAAAGTATAAGTTAAAGTACGGTGAATTTATTACTTAGAAAAGCATATTTTTGATTATAGTAACAGTGCTCTCTACAGAAATATTTATTGAAGTATAGTCTAAATGCTTTCTCCCATAATAATTTATATTAATTTTGTTTATTTTTTTGTTTTGTTTTTTGTTTTCTGTGTGGTTCTGACTGTCCTGGAACTTGCTCTGTAGACCAGGCTGGCCTCAAACTCAGATATCTGCCTGCCTCTGCCTCCCGAGTGCTGGGATTAAAGTGACATCAGAATCAAATTGAATTAGAAAAGAATGTAATACCTATATAACTATTAAAGGTTAAATACATCATAAATATACTCAAAATGTGCAGTTAAAATTATTTTATCTTTAAAAGACTTGGTTGTCATCTTGTAAAGCACATACCGCATTGTTTAAAATTTTGTAAAAGAGTTTTCCACACAGATGAGGAAATGACATTACAAATATCCTTAAGGAAGGTGTTATTTCATGTAATAATGAAAGTAAAATTATAGATTTTTTGTTTAGGATGCAGACCTGGTTAATATATGAATATTTTCAAATTATTTCACTTTTTTGCTACTAGTGTTTTTATCTGTACAATGTGTGGCCATTTTCAGTGCGTGCCTCACAGAAATATTCAAGAATTTGGTAACTGTGTATAAATGACAATTTTCCAGAGCCTTTAGGATGACATTCATGCACTTGCTATTTTCTCTAATCCGTGATTACTCTAAACGTCTTTCCAGTGCTTTAGCTTCATTAGAGAATTACTCAGTAAGTTTTATTTATTCCTGCGGAATGAAGGTTACCAAATTTTCCAAGTATTTGGACATGTTTAATTAAGTGCAGATAAGGCTATCAAAGTTTTTCTAACCGAAAGCCACTGCCACAATCAAAGAGATTGCAGTTGTGGACGATGGACAGTTTATGTTCGTTGTGCAATAATCGGAACACATTAGAAAAGCAGACACCCTCAAGCAAAGGGAGATTTTGGACTTTGCAGAACTGTTTGGAATACCACATGGTTCTTATGAACTGATAAAGTTCATGGTTAATAACTTTAGGGCCATCACGGGGTGGTGTTCAGAAGAGCACTGTGCGACCCAGACACCCTCGTGCGCACAGTTGTGTGGTGGGGAAAGAAGAATCCCATGGTTTCTGAAATAAACTTGGACAAACGCTTCTCATGGGGATTTCGTAGACTAAGAACCACTTTTTACCTTGTCACAGGTGAGCTGTAAAGTGTCTCAGTTCATCCATCTCTACCTGATGGGCTGTAACTACTTCTGGATGCTCTGTGAAGGCATTTACCTGCACACGCTCATCGTGGTGGCCGTGTTTGCAGAGAAGCAGCACTTGATGTGGTATTACTTTCTTGGCTGGGGTAGGTGCCACTGTCATGACCTTTGTAACCAACTGATTGAGAAGGCTTTCAGCTCTCAGGCAGTGTGACTTATTACCAATCACTCTTAACATGTAAACCGAGGCTTTCCTCGCTGTGATGGATTGAACTATGGAAAGCCAAGTGTCACAGACTCATGGTTTCTCTAGTCTCATTTTGATTAATAATACATCTTTTTAAACATTGATATTCCAGCAACAAGCTTATCTTAGTTGAATGACTAAACAATAGAATTAAAATTATGAATTAAGGATATGGTCTTCTGAATTTCCTTTGTCGCGTGTAAAAAGAGGTCGCTGGTGTTTTAAACTCCACCAAGAAACCTTTGAGATTGACTTCCCTCCCTCCCTGCCTTCCTCCTTCCCTCCCTCCCTCTTTCTTTCTTTCTTTCTTTCTTTCTTTCCTTTCCTTCTTTCCTTCTTTCTTTTTCTTTCTTCCCCCTCTTTTCCTTCCTTCCTTCCTTCCTTCCTTCCTTCCTTCTTCCTTCCTTTTCTTCTGTCTGTCTGTCTATTTGTTTTTGAGACCAGATTTTTTTGGCTTAGAACTTGCTATTAGATTAGGAAGGCTTTGAACTTGCAGAGAATCATCTGAGTGCCCTGTAAAGATCATAAACTGTCATTTTATAGTTAAACTAGGGGTTTCAATAATTAAATTAAAGTATGCAAAAGATCTACTTCTTTCACATAATCTCTTGGCATTGTGTGTGCTTCCTAAGGTCATTGGAATAAGATATAAGAACATAATATGTAGAAAATTGATTCATGTAGGACAAGTTTTCAGAGATAAAGCAATCATTTTACTTTTTAATTTTCTACCTAGATGGAGACGTAGATACTGAGATAGATTTAAAGACATATGCCTGTTCACATACCCAATTGTTAGCACATTCTTATTGTCTTTATCAAATAGTTCTTTACTTCAGTTTTTTCAAGATCTTATTTAGAAGCTTCAAAACACACAGAAATCTTGGTATAAGAAACATATCTTCTCTTTTTTTCCCTGCAAAACATGGATTACAGTAAAATCTGTCTTTTACAATAGAAATGATTATCAGTCCCAAAATTTCCAACATTGATATTACATATTAGCCAAGTTCATCCCACAGAAAGTAAATAAATACAGAAATTCTTTTAAGGATTGTGACTTAGCAGCATGCTATGGTTTTAATCTCTGGAATCTTACGGATTCGGAATGATGTATGTCTAGCCTGACAGTCTGTCACATTTACTGCTTGGCTATCACACAGCAGACGTAGGTGGCTCATTATTTTTGGCTCCTGAAGTGTCTCCAGATGTCATATTTGTGCCTTCTTTGAGAAGCCTCACCTGTAGGGAAAGACATCCATTCATCTGCGTCTGCTTCTTTGTAGGGTTTCCACTGCTCCCCGCCTGCATCCACGCCATGGCCAGAAGCATGTATTACAATGACAAGTAAGATGGCTTCCATTTGTGATTTCTATTAGAACCAAGCAAAACGAAAACCTTCTGTTTATACATTATTGTCTTTACTTAATCCCCTAGCTGCTGGATCAGCTCCGATACCCACCTCCTCTACATCATCCATGGACCGATTTGTGCTGCTCTACTGGTATGTAACTAAAATCCTCCGTTTCTCACTGTTGCTCTCCTGCTGTCGCTCTGAAGTCAGTGAGCTCCCACTAGCTCAGGTTAGCCATTTCTGTGAGTATCCCCATCATGGTCTTGACTTCTTTGCTCATATTATTGCTCTTCTCTCTCTTCGAATGGACTCTGGGAGCTCGGTCTAGTGCTTAGCTGTGGACCTCTACATCTGCTTCCATCAGTTGCTGGGCGAAGGGTCTAGGATGACAATTAAGGTAGTCACCAATCTGATTACAGGGGAAGGCCATCCTCTCCACTACTGCTTAGGGTCTTATCTGGGGTCATCCTTGTGGATTTCTGGGAATTTCCCTAGTGCCAGGTTTCTTGCTAGCCCCATAATGGCTCTCTCAATCAAATATTTCCTTGTTCTCCCTCTCTGTCTGACAGAGAACATGGATGAAAGGGATGGGAGGGTATAGATGAATTGAAATTAATGCTTCATAAGACAGGTTCTTAACTACTGAGTCAAATTCCATTTTCAGATTTCTATGAATCTCTTCAAAGACAATGCAAACCCTTTAGGAAAGTTGCTACAGGACAATAACTAGTAAATTATAGTTGTGGAAAGTCATTTACAATTATAGCAAGTCAAAACTTCATCGGCTAGGTTGAATGTCAGCTGGTTCAGTTGTATGATCATCTCTTCATAAGCATAAAGAAAATGACAGTCTTATTTCAAGTACTTGTCATAGAAATGTTTATATAAAAGGGTGTTGTGGCAATGATCATCAAAAAGGAAGAGAAACCAAATATGTACAGAATCATGATGGCATAGTATGCTTGGGGAGTCTACAGTACGGGCTCCAGTGGAAAGGCAATTCTTTCAAATTTAATGATTGTTGAGGCTAGAGAGTTGGCTTCATAGAGAAGAACACTTGCTGGTCTTCCAGACGACCTGTGTTCTGTTCCCAGCTGCATATTGGGCAGTTCACAGCTGCCTGTATTTCCAGTTCCAGGGATCTGACTTCTTCCTCTGGCCTTCATGGGAACACACACACACACACACACCAATACATCCTTAAAGCCTAACATTTCTTAAGGACAATTCTTTTTTCTAAAAGTGTTTATGATCTTGACTTGGAATCGTAGACAAGCCTTAATATTATATAGAAAATGTACTAAGAAAATGACCCAAATATTTCCTGGACGAATGTGCTCCATAGTGATTCTACCATAATTTTATTTTTCTAAAAGTTAATTTCACCAAAATTCATGTACCTGTAAACTGAAAAGCATTACTCTAGAAATACACACTATTAATACGTGTATTATTATGCAAAATGTGCCTTCAGTCCTTATACATGAAATAATCCAAGTTTTATAAAATCTTCTCATAAAACAGTTCTCATGAGGCATCTTAGCACTAAACATGAACTAACTTTTAGATGCTTTTTTACTTTTTTTAGGTCAATCTCTTTTTCCTATTAAATATTGTACGCGTTCTCATCACCAAGTTGAAAGTTACTCACCAAGCGGAGTCCAATCTTTACATGAAAGCCGTGAGAGCGACCCTCATCTTGGTCCCGCTCCTTGGCATTGAATTTGTGCTCTTTCCCTGGAGGCCTGAAGGAAAGGTTGCCGAGGAGGTGTATGACTATGTCATGCATATCCTGATGCACTATCAGGTAAGGGACTCCCGCCAATCAAGAGCCAGCTTGGCAAGTTTTGTGTTGAGTTTGCATGGAGGCCTGGTTTTCCTCCTGGCTGCTTCTGTAACAGTGGATTATTAATACAGGAACCCTTTTGATTCTCGTGCCTCCTCTTGGGCCCTTTTCCTTCTATTGGTTTGTCTTGTCTGACGTGGGTGTGATAGTGTTTGTTTTATTATATTTTATTTTGTTATATTTTTAAGAAATGAGTGAATGAATGGGTCAAAAACCTTACTGCAGGAGTAAAGATTGACAACTGAACTGTCAGGTATATCTGCTGGGAGGGCAAAAAATAAGTTTTCTTTAATGGAATGACACTGGGTATATCAACCACGCTAGACAGAACCAGGAGTAGTTGGCCAGCTTATAATTGACTTTCCCAGGCTTTGTGTGTGTGTGTGTGTGTGTGTGTGTGTGTGTGTGTGTGTGCGTGTGCACGCGCACGCACGCTTTTGTTTGGTTACAGTTTGGTGTTTTTAGTTTTCTTATTATTTGTTTATTTTTCCCTTTTGGTTTTATTTTGTTTTCTTGGTTTTAGGGGGTTTTGTTTTTTATTGAGTATTTGTTTTTTGATTTAGCTTAGAGTTGGGTCGGTAGGGTAAGGGAGAGGGGAAGATCTGGAAGGACTTGGTAGAGGGGAAGGATATGACCAAAATATCTTCAATTTAAAATTGTTTTAAATAATAAAGAATATAATAAAAATAGATCCAGATAATTCTGCTTTCTTTTTAAACAGGGTCTTCTGGTGTCTACAATTTTCTGCTTTTTTAATGGAGAGGTATGGTTATTGATTTTTAATACTTTTATAATTTAAACTTTTTTCTTTTAAAACAAGATGGAATTATAAACTCCTCCCAAAACAACTATTTTTTTTTTCTGAGACCGGGTTTCTCTGTGTAGCTCTGGCTGTCCTTGAACTTGCTCTGTAGACCTGGCTGGTATCAAACTCACATCTGCCTATTTTACCACCTAAATGCTGGAATTAAAGGTGTGGGCTACCACCACCCAAGCCCAAAACAACTATTTCAAGTACCGATTTTATCAGAGAAAAAAATAACATAAAATTATTTTTTTGTAGTCCCAAATTTTTATCTCAAAATTTAGGTAATATTAGAGTTGAGAAACAGGGAAAAGTTAGACTTACTTCAAAATACTCCAAGAACGAGTTAGCCCTTTGATCTATCATGAGAATGTACTAAGTCTGGATGCTGCTTTGGGGCCAGTGCTGGGCAATCTTTAGCTTCATAGAGCCCATACTGAGACAGAGTCTACTCATTTCCCCCTTTGTCCTTTTCAGTAGACTCAACTATGTAACCTTTTGATGGGTTTTACCATAGATACAGACGATTAAGACAAATTGACATTGGAGATTTATAGGTCTTACCTGAGGAATTCCTGCTTGAGAGGCTTTAGTAGCCTGTCCATCTGGATATTGTTACTGCTCAGTGGTTTGAACATTATTGACTTTGCTTTTTATTTGCTTCTGGTCTACTTGGCCAGTTTTCATTTGGAGCAAGCTAGCAAAACTGAGCACAGAAATCGAGACAGCAGCTCAGTGAGAAATAGGCGCTGGACAACCAAGAAACTCCTCAGGAAACCTCAGATGGGGAGCACACGGACCAGATGGCATAATTCATGAGGCTATTTCCTGTAAAACAAATAATTGGAAATTATACACATCTTATGAAAAACTATAAAGTCCTTTGTCCTTGTCTAAGTAAATTTTTACTTTTTCTCTTTGGATGTAATCACACAAATTGTTTGAAGTCAAAGTTAACATGTATGTAACTGAACCTAAAGCCGTTACATGATAATGACTTAGAACACCACGTCTAACAGTGGGGGAGAACAGCGCACTGTCATATGTGGCTGTCGAGTTGTTGTTAGTGCTGTGACTCTTCTATGTCATACATGACAGTGACCATTTCTCTCTAGCAACAAGAAAGAACCCATACACCATTTGTTTTGACAGGAAAACTCGACAGACTTTATTATGAGTCATACTGACTTTATTATGACACACTGACTTAGGTAATCCTGTATGTTGCTGATGTTGGCTATACCAATCAAATATTCATGAGAATGATATGAACACATGCCAAAGAGTATGTATGAAACAGGGAAGATGTGCTTTTTTTATCTGTAGACACAGATTAGTGTCTTTTAAATATTTAAATCGTAGTCACTAGTAAAGTAGGTGATGTGGTAGTGGACTAGGGTTGGAGGCGCTAAAGGACCAACATGGTGGTACCTTCCAACTCTGGAGACACTTCTTCCTAGCAGTTATAGTTTGTGAAATATTTGGAACCAAGGAAAGCATATTTGTCCTTAAAAATGGAAATAAAAGCAAGTTTTTTACACTAATGCTGAAAAGGTGAACTTGTAGAGGGAGGAATGCAATGAGTTTATACAATGCCTCCACCTCATCGCTTCCTTAGAATAGCATAGCTCCATCATTCTGTTGCTCAGATAACTCATTGTTTTAATGAAAAACCACGTAGAATTGAGAAATCTAATTTTCAAATTGGCGCTCTCCTTCCGAAACGGCGTCCAGGGAATATTGAAGTTAGTGCCTTGTATTTCTGTTGTCCTTTATCTGTCTAAACAAAAGAGACACAGTACCTTGTTCTGCTGCCATGCCTTAAATTGAGAAAATTTGGCCTTGAAAAACTTTAATAAGAAGAAAACCTTTGAACGAGGTTGTTGCCAGATCCCTCAGCTCATGACAACATCTGTAATATCTGTCCTCTTTCCTTCTGCTTGGGAGACACAACCCCTGCTGGAGCATGATTCATCCCTTGTCTGAAGAAATGCCTTCATCCCTCCCTTTCTGCCTCTCTGCCTCTTAGTTTCTTCCCACTCCTGTAGCATGAAGAAATAGCCACCAGATTAAGTCTGTGTGGTTCCAAGTATGTCATGTTTTTGTTAAAGTCAGTTGCTTGGTTTTAGTTTCCTTCTTGCCCTTCTCGTTAGGTCAAGTGACTTGCTTTTGCCTAATATCTGCGCTTCGCTTGACTCTCACTGCTGGCTTTTCGCAAACATCTATTGTCCTCTCAGTATTTCTTGCTCATTAAATGTAGTTTGACAAGTGGCCAGGCCATTTCAGCGCCATTCCACTCAAATAAAACTATGTCCTGGTAACATAAACAGGAGCTGTGGTCATCAGAAGTCATCGGAAACAACAGTGCATTATATGTATTTTCATCAACTAAACAAAAGAATTTGTTTAGAAGCCTTAACATTCTACAAAGAAAACTGGGTAGTTTTTCTTTATAACCTCTATCATAGTCTTCAAAATTGATTTAGGTTAAGGAGTATTATTGATCCTTATCGTGTGTTAGTGAGCTTATACTATCCTAAGCATTTGATTTAGCTGCCTGTATAAAGCTCATACACAAACCACTGAAATTATATCCATATCTTTAATAGAACCAGCCATTTTTCATTTTTCCCTTTTAAATTTATTGAATGTCTAATTTAATATTCTGCTAAGTAAGCATGATCTTGTATTAGAGAAAGCAGTTAAAAATGTAGCATTCTTTCTTTAAATTTTATTTTATTTAAGTAACATTTCTTAAATTTATCTTATATGCCAACCACAGTTTCCCCTCTTTTCTTTCCTCCTGTTCCCTCCCACCGACTTCCATCTCCCCCTCCCCATGCACTCCCCCTCTGTCTTCAAACTGTAACATTCATATCACACCGGTTTGCAAAGACTCTGGGTCTTTATTACATTCTTTAAAACAACTTTGAGAAATAGTAACCCACATTTCAGAATACTGTCCTTTCATGATTTAGGCATCAAGAAGAAATAAGTTGTTGGTTATAGTCATATATTCTTCAAGGACAAGCATCTAACAGTCAAACTCATTTTGACCGCTGGGATTTGGTTAGCTTTTCCTTGAAAACTATCCGTCCTAGGACCTCAAGATGGTATCTTCTTGTTGAGGTCTTTATAACAGTGTGGAATATTTTATGGGAAACTACATCCCATGACCATTTGATTGAGGCTATGCAGTTCCAGCATCTAATTCTTCTAGTATACATAATAAATGAAAAAGATATCTATAAACATGAGAACAAAATAACTCCCACCCAAAATAGTTACATAATTGTTCAAAAATACTGTTCACATCTCTGAATATTTACATAACACATTATAGCTATCATTTGCTTGCATTTTTGAAGCTATTATATACATAAATATTACTGCCACTTTAATTTAAATATCTTGTATGTTGATTTAGAATTAGTAAACCACATCTTCACAGTGCACAGGATTATCCCACGGCACATAAAAACTGGCCAAAAATTAGTTGACAGCTTGGGAAAATCTATCCAAGCAATGAGGACGCAGGCAAGCATAGGTCAGGCCAGAGCGGCAGGGTGAATGCTTCATGAACCGAGAGTGGTCAGTCTCTAAGCTCCGCTTTCCAGACCTGAGAGCGGAAAGGTGATGGATGGCGTCTGATATGGGGCTGAACATTCTTCTTTGTGTTTAGTGACTCGGTATGAAGAAAGTCTTTCTAGTGCTCTCAATTCAGTCAGAATCAGCGCCATTGTATCTGACATACTACTCAGAATCTCTCATTTCGCTCAGGAAAAAAAGGCATTAAAGTTCACGTCTGTTTTAAGAAAGAAAGATGCAGGAGAAGGACTAGGAGTTGAGAGCCCTTGCTGCTCATACAGAGGACCAGGTTCCTTCCTCAGTATCCACACAATGACTCAGAAATATCTGTAACTACAAATCTGGGTCCCTAATTCCCTCTTCTGGCCTCACTGGATACAGTTACAAACATTCAGACAAAACATTTGTAACATAAAGCAAAAGTAATAAATTAATTGAAAATATTAAAAAGGAAAGAGGCAAAATAGGAAGAAGCGACATTCTTAGACGTTTTCCACCGTAACTCTTGTCCAATCCAGTGCATTCCATGATTTCAGGAAGTGAGGTCTGTGAGGACAAAGGCTCTGGCGCTTTCAGAAAGTGGTACATTTTTAGCACATTCAATAAAAGCTACTGTTAGTAATGATGGCAGTGTAATTTCCCCTGTGCCCCGTGTTCCTTTTATCTGCATCATTCCCCAATTCATATACACTCTCATTTCATCAAGGTATTGATATAAAATCCATATATACATATTATGTTGGATACAAAAGGTATGGATGAATTGTGTTTGACAAAAATACACATAGCCCATTTGGATTATTATAGCTTTAAAGACTAGACACAGAATAAAAATATTAAAATATTAATTAAATAAAAAATACAGATTAATTGTAATCTGTTCCCTAGTATAAAAGTGTTTTACTTAAAATTTGTGTGTTATGTGTACTGGAGACCAAATTTAGGACATCAAACAGGCTAAGCAAACAGCTAATTCAGGAGCTAAAATCTCTCTCTCCCCCTTTCTTTTGGCTTTGACACAATGATATTCAGGCTGGCCTGCACTTACTCAACACTAGCATGCAGATATTGACCGTGTGGTTTTCCTGCGGAGGTTTCCTTAGTTGCTTAAAGTGTAGACTAGGATCATTTGGTCTTCCTCTTAAATTTAAAAAATAAGCCCTTTCTGCAAAAACATTTTTGCTGTGCTTCAAATAAGACGTTTCATCTCAACTAATGGGTTGTTCTCTCCGCTTCTGCTTCTTGTTGATTGATAGGTTCAAGCAATTCTGCGAAGAAATTGGAACCAATATAAAATTCAATTTGGAAACAGCTTTTCCCACTCCGAAGCTCTCCGCAGCGCATCCTACACGGTGTCTACCATCAGTGATGTCCAAGGCTACAGTCAAGACTGCCCCACTGAACACTTAAATGGAAAAAGCATTCAGGAGTTTGAAAATGTTGCCTTAAAGCCGGAAAAAATGTATGACCTAGTCATGTGATCGTAGAGAGCCCTCACCTGTTTCCTGCCACTCGAACCCATGATTTCATAATCAGAAGGTTTAACAGCGGATGGATTTCTTGAATGCCACCAAGAAAGCCCTCAAATGAAAAGAGACTTGTGTTGATAAGTGTCCAACCCTCTCTCTATGGGGGAAGAGCCTCAACTGATAGTGTTGGCCAGTAAATGCCCCCACTGGGCTGGTTTCGAGTTACCAACCTGTTAACTGTGGAACTGGAAAGAAGCTAAACACAATCACCTCTTGGGAGCTGCCAGGTTTTGGAACCCGCACAGCACTGCACGCACGCACAAATGGGTGACCGCACCTTCACACCCGCGCTGACCAGAGAGCTCTGCGCTTCTCACCTGAGGAGACCTTGCTCCATTTTACAGACATGAAAAGATTTGTGATTTATGTTGGTTATAAAACTTTCTGACCTATGGTTATCTGTTGGAAGTGAACGGTTTTCCAAGAGGATACTCCAGCCATCTTTATGACGTCTCTAATAAACTAGACGGAGTTTGTTATCTCTGTCATCTCATGTTCTTCTCTTTAAGGAAAGCAGCTGAGCAGAATGCCTATGGGTTTCTCAGTTGCTGCTACAGACAGTTCTATCCTGTGGCATATCCAATCTGACACTTGGTGAGCAAAATCTAGAATTTGCAGTCTTTTTCTGAATCACTAGGGAGACGTATTGGTGGAAGCTGCAAACCCCTGTCAGCCTACTTTTAAAAAAACCTTAGTGCAGGCCTCGGAGGAGATCAGTTTCCCTAATCTGTACATAGAAACCTTGGCCTTTCCAATTCTACTGTGTAGACAAGTGATCACTCATTTTACGTGAAGGGAATCAATGAAGGATTTCTTTTTATCTTCTAAATCTGAGAGAGAGAGAGAGAGAGAGAGAGAGAGATTGATTTCATGCAAATGAACCTGTAAATACTCATTTTATTTTATTGTTTTAATTCTAAACAGAACCTCGGTAACTTTGAAAGCAATTAGATAATGCAGCATTATATGCAACTTAGTATCTGATGCTGTATCTGGGCTGATTTTATGGTAGAGTCCTGAAGTCTATATTTGGTAAATATTTTAAGGACAACCAGATACCAGCATCAGAAGTCTGAGAACTAATAACAAACCCTAGAAATACCAGTGATTAAATATGAAATATTTATATAACAATGCAAAGCCATAACTTTACAAACACATTATCTTTGGTGTGCTGACATATTTCTTCAATTTTGATGACGACTCACTGAAATCAGGAAATTTATAACACCTACAGCATGAAAAACTAGTCTGCTACACATGCGGGCTTTAATTCACTAAAATATCCTTTACTGACTTTTACTAAACAAAGCTATCTAGTTTTGAAAAAGATCCAGGTTATTTTTTTTTAAATGAACCATAGAGGAATTTTATCTATATAATATGCACACTGTTTCAATATTTCAGACTTCTGTGGGTGATAATACAAGCCAGGGAAAGCCTTGAACTTAGCATGGAGGAGGAACTGTCAGGTGTTTAAATTAAATTAAATTAAGACAGAAGAAAGCCTTGTTCCTGAGATAAAGAGGCATCTAAATGGATTCAGTTCTTTTAATATTGTTTTGTTTTGGACTTTCTGTTAGTAAAAGTCAGTTTGGGGAAAGTCACGTATGTGTTTTTTGAAGTGTGTTAATCAGGTTACAATGGACGAATCAGAAGTAGTGATTTATGCTGCAATAGTTGTTTAGCATCATCAAGGAAAGTAATTCGGATTGTCAAGAACTGACACAGGTGATCTGGTATAAATATTTGTAATTTATCTGTACAGGCAAAGGTGTAACTAAGGTGGGTTCAGTTTTGTGGATTTCATAGCAAGCCATCATTAGGAGGGAATGCAGATGGTTCTGAACTCTCAGTTGCCAAAACTGTACAAAACTTCTTTTTACCACTCTCAGATTTTAGCTATTTATTATTCAGAGGTCTAGATTCCTATCCTTGCTGACAGTGTTCACGTGGCTCTGCATTCTCCCCAACTGTCAAGTATTAGCCGTAATGATAGTACAGAGTGCTGTTGCCAGAGAGCGTGTTTAAAAGGTGGTATACGTTTCCGTTGTATTATTCTTTTACTGTATTGAGTGTAGCTGAGATTTCCTTACTGCCAACCTCGTCTGCGGAGTGATCCTCAGCCGCACTGGTTTGAAATTCGTCAGCTTTAGTTTTGTGATGATAGTTGAAACTAGACTTGTAAAACTGAAGTGCCAATGAAAACTTTCTGTATTGCTTGTAGACAACAAAAACCTGACAGTTTTGAAGGGAAACTTCTCTGGTGCCTAAAAACTAATTTAGAGAATTTCTGGTATTTTAAAAGTTAGATCTATCGTTTTTCTACAGTTGTTTCTTATAGTCATGGCTGACCTTTTTAGAAGTGACTTTGTATTTTTTTATTGATAAGCCATTCATCCTGGAGTTTAACGTTTGTTCGAATATAACGAACTGTATAGAATTTAGCAGAACTCGCAGTGTTCCCACTGCTTAGATAGTTTAATGTGAATATTTTAATTTCCTTTGTGTTTTAATGTACTCACAGAAACATTACCTGTAAAACATATCCAAGATGTTCCAGTCACTTAAAAGAACGTATGTTTTATCTATTTAAAAATCTCTTGTTTAGATTTTATGAGAATATTAAAGCTAACATTGATGCTCACTCATCTCCTCTGGAGAACAAAATAACTAAATCTCTCACAAAGTTCTTGCCACAATTGAGATATTTTGCAAAATAAAAGATGATGTCTTCAGCCTTTTCTTTAAAGACTTCAATAAACTAGTAAGTGTATTTAATAAATTAAAAGATATGAATTTGTTTTCATGCTAAAACTATTACATGCACAGGTTTTTACACTGTAAGAAAAGGAAGATTCTCTTACAGAGGAACACGCTTAGGGAATCATCTTCCTTTCTGCACTGTATTTCAAAGTGTGGGTTTCTGTTAAATATTAGAAATAAGAAGAATGAAAGTTTTTCTCAAAAGAAAACACGGTCATAACCTCATACAAATAAAAACTTAAATGTGTCAAAGATTTTGTTTAACTCAATAACTGATGTTGGAACCAGTAATATGCCAAAGGAGAATTTAAAATACCATATATGCTTGAGAATATAAAAATACAAGTAAATATACAAATATTTGTATTTAAGAATACTAATCAAGTATACATATTGGTAAAAGTAGGCAAAATAGTCAATACAATTAGACTACACACCCAGGAGAGACAGACATTAAAATAATGTACTAATATTGATACAGAGTTAAAAAATAACATAAGGCTTACATAAGAACAAAGTGCTTACATTTAACAGAACTAATCCCTATGGTATTTTGAACTACTCAGTGGCAAAAGGCTAAAATACAATAGAGCCAACTAGACAGACCATATTACCTCTGAAATTAATCATTCATAAACAATAAGGCTCCGAGTGAGATCCTAATAACAAATGCTAATACACAAAGTGGAGTCAGCATTGTTACAGCTGAGGTTGTTATTACATTATGAAACAAACCTAAGTCTACCAAGCGTTCCAAGCATATACTACTCCAGAAGCACACTGGGAATGGTATAGTATGAAATGGAATTCCTCCAGATGGCGTTTACCATGGACACGGTTTCTGACAATCTGTTCCAGCTTACTTTTTAACTAAAGGATGTACCGAGCACACACAACGATAGGTTTAATTTTCAGATACAGTTGAATTCTCCTCCCCATACTCTTACCCACGTTCCCGCCCCACCCCACCCCCTGTGCTTTTCCGTCCCCCTTTCTGCATGTCACACCAATGCTATTGTCACCCTTCCTGGACATTTTTTGTCCTCTCCCGACCTTCTTGTTAAACAGACTTACACCCACGCTCACCTCTGTTTATGCACACACACGTAGGCATTAAAAGCTAAGGTGTGTGTATAGGAGAGATTCTGTGGTTTTGTCAATGAATCTGGGTTACTGACTCAGTGTAATGCATCTAGGTCCATCAGTTATTTCTGGGTTCATCAACCTCCTTTCGTTATTTTGCTTTTCTTTATTGCAGAATAAAATTCAGTTGTGCATATATCTTGGATTCTTTTTATTCATTTGTCTATCGATGAACATCTAGGTTGATTCCATTTCCTTGCTGTTACAAACAGTGCCTTAAGAAACACGGGTGTGTGAGTACCTCTGTAATAAGACACAGAGCCCTTTGGCTGTGTATCAGGAGCGGTATAGCTGGATCACGTGGACATTCGGTCTTTAGTGTTTGGAGAATATTCCCCTGATTTTCACAATGCCGTACCATGACAGTGCACTCTCACGACAGAAGGAGTTCCTGTAAACACGAGAATCTTTGCACAATGCTGCTTTGTTTTGAATCTATGACTGCGATTCAAACGTCGCAAATAAATTTACAACACAGTTTACAGCAGATGCAACTATTAAAAAAAAGTTGTTGAACTAAATCCGGTTTCATCTCTCTTATAATTACAAAATGAAATGGTTTATGTTCCAACTGGGGACCATTTCAAAAATCCCTCAGTTGACCCCAAAACAACCCTTCCCTTGAATCAAAATTGACACGCTAGTCTCTAAAAGTTCTGTAAACATTTACCTCAGCTTACAGTATGCAGGAGCAAAGGTTGGAAACACAGCACAGCTTACAGCATGCAGGAGCAAAGGGTGGAAACAGCACAGCTCACAGCATGCAGGAGCAAGGGTGGAAACACAGCACAGTTTACAGCATGCAGGAGCAAAAAATGGAAACATAACAGAAGTCAAAATGCATAGTCGTTTATGTCTCATTGTGTTCCATGTGGAATATGTGCACTACGTGTATTTGTGTGGTTCTGAGCCTTCCTCTGCTGAGTGCCAAGAGCATCACAAGCTGCCTGCTTCTGACTGCATGTATAGGTTTCAAAAGGAGCATACATTATACATTCCTAAACAGAGAATTCATTGCGGCCCAGGAACCCAGAGATGGCCTTCTTTTTCTTTGCTTTGTTTTGTTGTTTTTCTTTATTATTATTTATTATTATTATTAATTATTATTATCATTGTTACGAAATGCAGTGCCTGATGGTCCAGGTTTACATGCTCAGGTCAGTTTTTGTAGACGGCAGTTTGTGTGTGGCCTGTAATTAACACGTGCTCTCTGAATTCAGGGTAGCCATACATTCTAGTCTGTCTTAAGAATTTAGATGTGTTTTCTTACAGCTCTGGCATCAATCCTGGTTCAGCATTTGTAGTTCTAGGGTTAGATCCATGGGAAGAAAAATAGAAAGAGGCATTGGCCTCTGTTTCTTCACTTACTGTTCTCAACTTTGGGTTTGCTTTGCCTTGGTATTTCTTCCTGTCCTGACAAGTGATCAGAATCAAGGAAACGGATCTCCCTAGAACGTTAAGTCTGAGCTCGTGAGCGTACCCTAGACAACCAGCGTACTCTACACCACCAGCGTACCCTAGACCAACAGCGTACCCTAGACCACCAGCGTACCCTAGATCACCAGTGTACCCTAGACCACCAGCATACCCTATTCCAACCTAGTGGTGCTCATGGAGGTACCATGTGAAGTTTTAGATGCATTTTCCTTCCTGGAGTTGGGTTGTACATCTTCTGTGACCGCCCTTAGGTTTCAGGAATGATCTGGGAATGAGCAAAGGGACTTTCCAAAGGGCAGAGAGGGTAGTTTATTCCAGAAGCAGCATATTTATGTGCAAGTCTCCAGGGATTTTGAGTTTCCTAAGAAGCCTAAATTTGAAACTAATTTTCTAGTTTGTTAAAATTATTTGCAAAAGGGAAGTAGAAACTTATTGAATTACCTTGTAGTTTTATTTATATACTTGACATCTGTCTAATATGTAGGCTTACTATTAGACTCTTGCCTTAGATGTCAATACTAAGGAAGAGCCTGAATACATATGTTAGATAATAGCACCTTGGTTTTCATAAAGCATATGTATTCCCCACAAGTGCTTCTACTAATCCTTTCTTGTCCCAAGTTGAAAAGAATATCAAATAGTTAAACATTCTTTTATTTAAGCCATAGATTTTTCATACCTCTAATATATATTATAATAATATAACATTAATAATAAAACATTTATTATATTGATTATAGTAATATATTAAACCTCACACCTGTGGTCTCCAACAGGTCAAACATAATAATTCTTAGGGACAATATCAAACCAGCTACTAATTTACTATATTATCATTCCACTGTTCAAATATTACACCTGTGAATCTCAGTGAAGCCTTTAACTTTAAATAAAATTACAAGAGAGTCCCTGCAGAAATCATGAGCTTCAGCCGGGCGGTGGTGGCGCACGCCTTTAATCCCAGCACTCAGGAGGCGGAGGCAGGTGGATCTCTGTGAGTTCGAGGCCAGCCTGGTCTACAAGAGCTAGTTCCAGGACAGGAACCAAAAGCTACGGAGAAACCCTGTCTCGAAAAATCCAAAAAAAAAAAAAAAAAAAAAAAAAGAAAGAAATCATGAGCTTCTTCCATGGTCGCATTTTAAAGTCTAGCTACGCTGCTTTTTCAAAGATCATTTCAGATTCTTTTCTCACATTAAAACAATAAATATATCTTCCATTCTTAAACTTTAAATTAAAAGTCAGAGTTTACATGTCCAATTTTTTATTTAATTACTCGGAAGAATATTAGGCTTACCAAATCCTTCCCTCTCCTGTCCGGTAACTATGTGTGAGACCTGATCTCTGCCAGAGGTGGGTATCACATATGACTTACAAAAGCAGACGTAAAATTTCACACCTCTTCCTCTTTTGTCTATAAAAATGCATTCAGGTTTGTTACACATTAGACAGATTGCTTTGACTTCCATCTTTTTCAAATTGTCCATCACATAACTGCCTCCGGCAGCAAACACAGATGGAGAGCTCTCAGCATACTATGTAATGTAAACAAATGAGTTGATTCCTTAGAACTGATTTTGCGGACACTCAAAAGGTTCCCTGAGGTCAGTCTCCCGGTAGCACAGTCTGGTTGCTGTTCACCTCATCATGGTTGGTTTCCGTCCCCCTTCCAGCCAGCTGCATCATCTTCAAACACCAGCTCTTCTTTCCTGTATCCTCACCATTCTGTCCCTGGTATTACCTTTCCCCTTGGCTTACCCTGCTTGTCCCATTTGATGAGAACTTCACACATAGTAGGTCCTCAGTACATAACTGTTTCATTTTTCTTATCTAGCAAAGCTGTATCTGATCTGTAGAGGAATTGCAATCCTTCTATGGTAACTGAGAATGAGTTTTTGACAGCTTTAGCTCATGTTACATTGTTACCAGATTAGTAAGACGAGCTAGTGCCCATTTCTGGTTCTAATCGGCACATACAGACAAGAGACAAACTAGAAGATACAACAAAGCGCTCTCAAGGACTTCTTACTGCCCCCTTAATAACCAGTTTGAAGGAACTATCTGAAAAACAAGATCTGGAAGAATAAAAACGTGGTTTTAAAATAGTTTCTGGAAGAAGGAATTGACAAAAGCGGGAAAAGGCCCTACTGTACAAAGCCAGGGAGGATAGATAGGCACCTCCTTTCCTCATTGTCTCTTTGTTTTCGTATCCCTTTCTGCTCTGTTATTTCCTGTTGGAAGCGTCTGTCCACAGTAACTGCAATGGAAAGAAACCCTTTTCATTCATCTCACACCACCATTGAGCTATCACACACGGCAGTCGGGTCTGCTTGGCTTCTTGCCCCTTTGGAACCATAGCCAGCAAGGCCAGCGCATAGAACCAGGATCTGGAACAGG